GGGTAATTTCGACCCAGTCATTGGGGGTATATCAAAAATTGTGAGTGGTCACGCTGACTATAATACCTCATTGGCTTTATTTCATCAGCTTGAAAGGACCAAAGGACTGGCCGAAAATTTCTATACATTCTGAGTTTGTAAGTATCAAATGTGCTATTTTCTTTGTCACGCCCTTTTGTTTCCTTTCACCTCAACTCCAATCATGGTGGCCTGAGGTGGATGTGGATCCCTATGGTATTTTACTTCTCTCAAAATTGAATGCGCCTCGCATCAATAATAGTCAAGCTAAGTAGTGGCCGAGTCTCAGGTAGTGGTCCTGTATGTTGACGCGAATTAACCTGTTGACGCGAATTAGCATAAGCCGACGCGATTTAGCATAGTTAACGCGAATTAGCATAAGTTGATGATGTACGTATCTCTATCCGTATGTTCAAAGGTTCAAAGAGTATAGTTTGGTCAAAGTCAAACTAAAAACGCTACCGCCAAACCAGCTGAGCCACTGAGACTGAGAGCTCTTGCTTTACCAAAAAAAAAAAAAAAAAAAAAAAAAATGTTGCCATTATTTAGAGTTGGTTTCAGAAGAGGGATTCGAATGTCTGTATCCTCTTCGATTCGGCCAGGGCTAATTACTGCAAGTCGCTTATATAGTGATAGTGTGGCTTGGACAAAGAATAAAAAAGGTAGGTACTAGCCTCGCTAGGCTCGGCATACAAATTACAACATATATATATATAGCCTAGTCTTAGAGCCCACCCCAGGCCCTAGACCTGGTGAACTAGCCTACTGTAGGCCTAGGCTCAATATGCCTACAGAGGGTATGCCTGGCCTAGATTTTTCCATTACCAACCTTTCATTCTTAAAATTAAATATTTTACCTAGTTTAGTGGTTTTATTTTAGTGAGAATATACCTAAGATAATTTTCAAGAAAAACAATAAACCACACACAACTTCAACAAATCTTACAATCTAGTGTACAATCCATTGTTGTAATAATTACAGTAATTGAATTGATTGATATAGGCGTAATGCCATTTACCGAACCTTTAACAAATTGAAGTAGAAATACGGTACCGTATCTCTAGCCACAGCGTAAAGAGAAACTTGAACCTTTTAACTTGATATGAATAGATTATTTTTAGAACAGTACTTTTAAGATCATATCTGTTAGGCTAGGTGTGTATTTATTGTAATTCAAAGATTGTGAATTAGTAACCAGCAAGTTGTAATACTTAGTAGTAATATTATTTAATATTTGTTATTCCCTCTGCTGTTTAGGTTATGTATTCAAATGCTGTCTGTTCATGATTGTTGGCTAGATGGTGCAAAAAGAAAAAAAAATACCCCTTGATTGAGCTTAAAAGAAATTAATGGAAATTCCTGTTACATCACAATTTAATTCTACAGTAAAATGAAAAACAAAAGAGAGCATTTGATTTGGATGACTTATAATAATGCTTGCATTGCCATGTAAATAACGCTATTCTTGAAAATACTGGTTCTGCAGTTGCTTATCACAGTAAACTAAATGTATGGACATGGGTATTAAGATCATCAAAATAACAGCGATTCTGATTTTTTTTTTCAGATGAAGAAAAAAAGTTGTTTACTCCCGGCCCTCTTGGGGTCAGCAAGTCAACAAAAGAAGTGATGTTACGGGACGTGGGATCACGGGATGCAGAATTTATAGATACAGTTGCAGAAATTAGACGCAGTTTGTTACGAATTGCAGGTTGTTATCACCATTTATCATTACATTATAACTGCAGTATATTACTTTTATGTGTTTAGTCCTCAATTTGTTTTGAAAAAAAATTACTATAAATTCCTCAGGTATTGTAGGTATTCACAAATTATTATTGTACATTACAGTACGTAAAAGCTGAACATTCTGCAAAAAACGATAAAATTGGTGATTATGAAATATAAATGGAATAAAAGGTGTAGCCGTGGTAGTCTGCTGTAGAACAGTATGAGAAATGACAAAATCACAGCACTTTAAAGACTGACTTTAAAATTTATTAGTGCTAGCTTTCATCCACACAGTGGACTTCATCAGGAGACTGTACAAACAGGATAAGTAACATAAATAATACAGAAATAAAGAGGGGAAGGTAGGCCTGCTGTACATTGACAACAAATGTGGTCAATATACCATTAGTCTGCCTGCACCAATAAACAACCTGTGATAAACAATTTATTCTTAGTGAATGTTTTTTTAAAGTGATCTTTTTTTCACAATAGAATAATTTGTTTAGTGTTTTTCAAATCTGCAGACCAGATGCTTTATTTACCCCATTATTATTATTATTATTATTATTATTATTATTATTATTATTATTATTATTATTTGTTGTTGTAGTACCTTCACTTTCTATCTCTGATGTATCATAATAATGATGTTACCACTGTGTGGATGAAAGCTAGAGTTAATAAATTTTATAGTTAGTTTGAAGTGCTGATAAATTGTCATTTCTTATATTAAAAATAGAAAAACATGAAATAACTAATGTTAAGAAAAGTCTATTACCATGCAAAGCACTTAATTGGATTCTTGATATTTATTGATACAGAATTTTAGGTAGCATGTTGATATGAAATTTTAGGTATATTAGCACCTTTTTTCTGTGCTGATTTAATATGATTAATATGCATATACTATACTGTAGTATTTTGGTACTACTTTTTACCTTACTACAGTATATCAAGTACTTAGATTATCCTTATCAGTATGATAATTTGAGTACTGTATACCCAATCTATGAAGATCAAGTATGATCGTATTGTGTCAAAATCAATGATATACTGCTGTTTATTAATAGAATGCTTGCCTTAAACAATAATAATTTAGACAATCACCGTTCAGCGGCGAGTGACTGGTTTGGCTTGTCTTTGGAATGGAAGACATGGAATGGTGGGGTGGCGTAGTGTTTCCTTCATTTTAAAATCTTGTTTTTATTTGCTGGTAGGTGTTGGTGAGGAAGACTATACCTGTATCCTATTGCCAGGGAGTGGAACATATGCAGTGGAATCAGTCATTAGTTCTACAACACCTAAAACAAATGAAAAGGTATAAATTAAACTAATTGAAAACATCATTACTTATTTTGTTATATTACATAGTTCACATACAATAATTTGTCGTCATTATTTCACTCTTTTGAAACTGATAAAATGATTTGTTTCCACAGTACTCTTTCCTACAGATGACTACTTCTTGATGGAAATTACATAAACTAGATAAGAATGTGCATTAACATTTTATACTGAAGTAATGATGATAAAATTACACTTATGTAGCATGTAGTGCAACAATTCTCTATGCAAATATAAATATAGGATTCCCTCTAATTAAAGACCACTTTTCTGTGGTCCCATATTAACAAATGTTTTTTATCTTTATAATTCTAATGAGAGACCAAAGCTGCTAAAGACCATGGAAACTTCAGTCCTAAAGGTGGTCTTTAAATGGAGCAAAAGCTGTATTTTTAGAAATGTAGTTAAAGAAAATCACCACAAACTGGCATAATAATTTCTGGCCATTTTATTCAAATATTACAGTATATGATATTGACATGGAATTGTTTCTTAAATCATGAATTAAAGTTTAGAATCTAAAAGCGAAATTATTGGAGCTGTAGTTTGGTGGTGGCATTAGCCTCTGGCCCCAGGGTCCTTTGTTTAAATTCTGTAAATGCCAGATTTTTCCTCACAACTAAAAAGGACTCCATATTTTTTTAAATATTTTAATTATGTTTTGAATAATTTATGTATACTTTACACACAAAAAAACATACTTCTTTATGATATATACAGGTTACCATATCAATTCTGTATAATATTTTTGTTTGGTGTAGATTTTTAAAAGTACCTGTACAACTTATAGCGATACCTCCAAAACAAATTCTCCATCACAACATCAGGAATTAATATCTATAGAATAATTAATTAGAACTAAAAATTGTTCCAATCAATTAATATGGCTTTTGTTGTTGGTGCTTGATGATTAACTTGTTTCAAAAGGTTTTAATCTTGGCGAATGGCTCGTATGGTAAGCGAATGGGTCTGATCACAGCGGCCCATGGACTAACGTGTCATGTGGCCCATTTACCGGAGGAACACCGGATCAGACTTGGGACAGTAGAAGAGATCTTGAGGAGCTCGTCTGATTGGACGAATGTAGCAGTTGTCCACTGTGAGACTAGTTCAGGTGCTCTAAACCAGGTGAACGAGATTGGACACCTGGTGAAGAAGTACGCTCCAAGTTAGTAGCCACTTAAAGAGTATTGTAAGCTATTGGTTGTCAACCTTGGCTTGTTCACATTAGGATAATACTGTTCAATGATAATGATATGCTGTTTTCATTATGATTAATGCTCTATGGTCCTAATACTCCACAAATTTCCTCTATTGCATGCTCCTGCTGGAAATTCCAAAAAGGATATATACTATAGATCATCAAAACTGCTGATTAATTATGAGTAATTGTAGTGATTGTGTCTCGCTGTACCCTGAACAATTCCTCTTCCTCCTTTCGCCCCTCCCATCTCTCTCTGTCCCAGAGAAAACAATACATTTGTTGTACACTAATGATAAATTTGAACCAAAATTGTAATTCCGATGGCGTTTTGCGTCAGGAGAAATTATACAAAATGGTGTTTGCCCTACCTGTTATAAGTACTGAATGAATATACTGAGCATTCAGTACTTATAACGCGTCAGGTAGGGCAAACATCATTTCGTGAGTGAAGGTAAGTTATTGAAAAGATTCTGTAGAGACTGATATTCGTGTTTGTAGAGTAAAAGCAGGCACAATGTGGGTCGGTTGACAAAAACCTTCTACGCTCTGCATGAGTGATTGACACAGTGCCATCTGATCATTGCAAGTGACTCAGATTTATAATCATAGGGGACACATTGTTAGGCGAAACATTTCAGAGAATGATTTGCCTCCAATTTAACTTCTTTTCGAGTTTGTGCGGGAAAATATATAATCCAGCTTAAAAGAATACGGTAACATCATTATTATTGTTTTATGCACTTATCTAAAATGTACTCCCCTTGAAACATGATAATAATCTCCAATTTTATTCTGCACTGTAAATATTGTCTGCACATGTTTGATATGACAACATGTGTTGTTGCCTTTGCATCCTGGACGAGTATACCCAGCTGGGACCTGTTTCAGTATCAAGTAATTAGTGGCACTTACTGCCAGTTTTCATGTTTGCTTGTTCTTCCTTTTATAAAAACACTACTTAATACTAAATAGTAATTCCTTTATAGACTATGTGTAATTTTTTTTTATTTGTAGGTGAGTGAATGCGGGGATTTTTGACTACTTGAGTGTCACTCTTAATTTTATTTAGAAGGATAATCATGTGAATGAGGAGACACCCCACACACCCTGTTCATATGTAACTGATTGTATTCACACTTAATTAAAGAGAAAATATAATTTTTATACCTACGGAAAATGTTTTATCATGTTTTTTTGAGAATGTTTATATATAATGCTGTAGATTAGTATCATATCTATAAAAGTATAAATTATCAATTTTTGTTGACAGATTCAAGTTACTTCGTTGATGCTATGAGTAGTTTTGGTGCAATTCCCTTGGATATTGCTGCCTCAAATATTGACTTTCTTGTCAGCTCTGCGAATAAGTGTTTGGAAGGAGTGCCAGGATTCTCCTACATTATTGCAAACAAGCATTCTCTGTTGAAATGTGAAGGTAATACTAATAATATAGCCCTCTCCAGACTATCAAACATTATTTGACAAAAACATGTGACATGCCTAAATGTAATGATGACATCACATCATGATGACCATATATAGGCACATCATTACTATATATGGGTTTACAATTAATGGATTTATAAGGCGCATAATGCAGTTGAATAATCTGAACAGAGCTTTATAATGGTTTAGAGAGGATTCACTCTGGTGGTGGGCTCTATTTTCGATTTGCACGATGCGCTAGAATGGAATCACTCATGCGTGACCGTCCTACCGGGCATCCTACGTTCTCTGCATACTTAGATTTGGCTAAATTGTGTCATAGAATCCACGCGTTGCGGAGAACTTAACGTTATCACATGCGCAAATGACTTTTAGTGACATCATTACGTTCTACCGTCGTAGTGCAATCAAAAGCTGCCTACTCTCTCTTAGCATGCCGCTAAGGCGCTATAAAAATATTATCAGTTTATCACCCTATCTGGGCAGGAAAAGTGATGAGGGAGGGAGGTTTTTTTTATTTATTTTTTTATTTTGCTAAAGCCAAATATCACCCTTGGGTCGTTTGCTGGCGCATTGATATTCAAAGTAAAACATGATTTAGATAAATCAAACAATATCTACTAACTATTTAATAAAATAAATGAAAAAAAAATTAATAAATAAAATAATTTAAAAAAAAAAATTTAAAAAAAAAATTTTTTCTTTCCAAAAAAAAAATTTTCAACATTTTTTTTTTCAGTACCATAAAATACATGCACGCGAGGGTGATAAACTAATAATTTCTTTTATTGGGCCTAATAACCTGTCTTTTTTGTACTTCATTATTATGTCTTTATTATGTATTCTGCATATGCCAAATTTATAACAAATATTAACAACCAGAACAGCAACAGATGGCAGCAGCAGAACAATATATCTGAAATGATGACCAAAGCTTAGCACACACACACACAGTGGCTACTGCCAGTTTAGCCACCTGAGCAATGCTGTTCTGTAATACCAGTAACATTTGTTACTCTTTTCTAGGCTGGGCTCGAGGTTTAAGTTTTGATTTGTTGTCGCAAGTGAAAGAGCTGGATAAGTCGGGACAGTTTCGCTTCACACCACCCACTCATTCTATCATGGCTTTCAAGCAGGCTCTCAAAGAACTAGAAGAGGAGGGAGGTGTAGAATGTAGGGCCCAGAGGTTGGTAATACTTATAGTGGTTTATTTTATGTTAAAATATTTTCTCCCTCCCCAAATTCTAAATGCTATTTCTTTAAGAACATTAAAAAAGAAAAAGAAAAACTATGTATAATGTCAAACTATTATAATTCAATTCGGTCATAATTCAATATGTTCTGTGTTAACATGAACTTCAGGTGTTTTTTTATTTATTTACTTATCTATTTATTCATTCATTTATTTATTTGGTTTTTTTGTTTGTTTATTTATTTCCCTTTTTGTTTACTTACTTGTTTTGTCATTTATTTTTTTATTTTTTATTTTTGTTTATGTTTGTATTGACATATTATTTCTATCTTCTCAGGATCATGCTTTCTTCCATAGATTATTTTTATTATAGTTATTATTTTAAATCATATTTTATTGTATATGTGCAGTATGTGTTTGTTTTATGGAAGTAAATAAATGTCTTTGAAATTAAGTTAAGTGTCTGTGCAAAGGGTAATGATGATGATTGTGTAATTTCTGTCAAGTCTGTGTTACTGTTATTGTGTTTTTTTTTTTAGATATGCCAAGAATAACCAGATTATTTCTGAAGGAATGCACATGAAGGGCTTTGATGAGCTACTGAGCTCACAGGACAAAAGCAACATCATCTCATCCTTCCATTACCCACAACATCCAAATTTCAACTTCCAAGAATTTTACCATCGACTAAATGAAAAAGGTGAATAGACGTGGTCAAATCTAGGACTTTAGGGTGGGATGATAGGGGCTTTGCTAATTTATGAAACTATAATAAACATGAAAAGTTCTTGTAAGTAAACCAATAATATATTTACAACCAGTAGACATATAATACATGCCATAATAATTATACAAAGGCATGCGGAAAAACTTCCTCGAATCGAAACATTAATGAAAGCTGAATGTTGTTTTATAGGCAAATATATACAGTGTTTCTTATACAGTAGTTAGAAATGGACAAGATTAAAACTTAATAAACATTGAAATGAAATTATTAAGCAGTTGAATCGTGGCCGGATATAATACTTAATTACAGTGTAAAATTTGGTCTATTTTAGGTGTGCAATGGTCAGCTGATAGGTCCAGATGTATGCATACCATTATCAATTCAAAAGTGGTATAAACAATTAGTTAAAAGTCGCGTTTTGTGTTAGTAGTGTGCTAGTATAAGTAGTTAAAACTCAACCACAGTGTAAATATTTTAGTAAATATAGTGCAAGTTTTGTTTTTAAATGCGAGCTAAATAAAAATATGACAATGATGTGATACAACCAGTGGCGTATTTAGGAGTCTTGAAATGGGGAGGGGATTGATGCCCGCAAAATAAGGTGATAGGTGATTTTTATCTACTTGCGTGATTTTTTTGCTTTGAACTGTTTCAGTGGGATGGGGGGGGGGCACGCGGCGGGGGACATGAGTCTTTTTAGGGGTGCACCTCTCCGCGCACCCCTATAGATACGCCACTGGATACATCCGCATTGACAGTACAGTAATATGCTTGACCAAAGAGAAGTTCATTGCTATTGTAATTATTGTAAATTCTTTAATTAATGAAATTTAAAAAGAGGGTTGTGTTTCTTTAAAGTTCAGTGCAAGATGGTTAGCTTTTTATTCATGATATGTTATGTAGAAGATACAATATGAATAAATATCTATGGATTAGTTTGGAAAATACTTTCACTACTACTACTGTTGCCGCTAACGATAATATTAGTACAATCAAGTTATGGGCATAACTTTATTGTTCAATAAAAAGAGACATCATGCAGTGAACTGACAAATATCCATATGTTATAATAATTGTTATATTATGTTATAATAATGGCAAGGGGGCTTAAGCCCCCACCGGACAGGTCAAGCCCCCCCCCCGCTCCGGACAGAGTTGGTCGGGCAGTCAGACCATAAAACATAAAAATAGGCCCGCACCAAGCTAACACATTCTGTTACAGTGTGAGAGTGCCATTTTCGGCCATCCAGAGGTTGATATCTCATTTGAGAAGAGGAACCCCTCTCTACCCCTTCCTCCAGCTCGAGCCTACGAGCTTAAGTCCCCTGTCGGACAACTTAGCCTTCCCCCCCCCCCCAGAAAATATATCCTAGAACCGCCACTGGGTCTACATATATACTTTTTATCTGTAATAATTTCATAATAATACAGTATAATGAACAGTGGCGGATTTAGTGGGGGGGGGCCGGCCCCGGCCCCCACCCCCCTTTTGGGAGGTAAAAAAAGAAAAAAAAAAACGGAAGGAAAAGAAAAAAATGATAGCCCAAGAACGCCTCAAATGTTATTTTCGGGCGTCTAGAACACCAAAATTTCGCGGGGGCATGCCCCCGGACCCCCTAGGG